CAGGCGATCAGGCGTTAACTGGCACCATCGATTGCCTCGCCCATTCGCTTGATCTCCCAGCATGTCAGATCGAGGGGCAAGGAGCAACGCGACGAGAAGCCAATAACCGATCGGAGCGAGCCGCTCGAGACGATCTCGACTTGCCGTCTTTTCGCCTCCTCGGCAGGAGTGGGCAAGTGTGTAGCCAGAGACCCACAGACAAGACCGGCCAGCATGAGAGAAAGGTCCAGGTGTCTGGATCTTCTTTTCATTCCCCCTGCACGCAGCAGCGCATCCCACAGGAATTGAACCGCTGGGTGGATTACAGGAAGCCGGATTCAGAGAGAAGTCTACGCGAGCAAAAGCAAAAGGTTAGTCCCGAACGCATGTTCGCCAGAGATATGGCCAATGAAAGAGTAAAAAAAAAAAAAGGAAAGAAAAGAAACAGAGGACAAAGAAGCAAATATAAAAGCAAAAGTAGCACCCGAGGAAGAAGCAATGGATAGAAATCGTCATAAAAAAAAAAAAAAAACGCCGGTAGTGGTGGGAAAATCAACATCATGCATGAAATGTGGGTATAGCTGCATCATGCCGCATAAGACTTGCAGACAGACATGCAAATAGAATAAGACCAGCCCTCAAACCAGTGTAAATCAAATACAGGATTCAGTAGAAGAAAGAAGTGGGAGGAGAAACGGGGGGAAGAAAAGGGAAGGATAGGAAGGAGGGAAAAGACAAAAGAGGCTTCCAACATGCAAGGAAGGATTCTTATTGTTGACTACTTGATGGCAGCATACCTCGCAATCTTTTCATCCTCACGCTCGCGAGGCTCCACTTCGAGACTCCGTTCGTACATGTCATGCACGTCGCCCGCTGCTTGCAGATTGCTGAGGATGTAATCTTGGAGTTCCGGCACCGGTTGAAGGAGATACGGCACATTCTGATACTGTTGGATATCACGGATGACCTCGGCTGTTTTGGCACGTTTGTTGAAGTTGATCAGCTCTGACGGGGTGAGAGATGGGATACCATCCTCAATGAAGGTCAGATCAGTCAAATAGACACCTTCGGGTTTGAAAGATTGTCAGTAATCAAACAAGTAATCTAGGTATAGATTAGGGGGGGGG